ACTATTGATTAAAAGTACTTGTCTGATACGGCATAGTTACGGCGCGTATACTGCGGTCGAATACGCCGCATTTACGTAGCACCGTAAACGAAAACTGTATACGGCGCCGTATTATACCGTAATTGAATTGTAATACGATGCACCGTATACGGTCACTGTTTCCAGGCCGAAAATCACCGTAATTTAGCCGAATACGGTCGTTTACGTACCGTATTGTTCGACCTGGGTAGCGATAGTTTTACAGTTTTTCAACTAACTACAGTTGGCTGGTAAAAACCTGTAACTACTGTATACCTAATGCGGCTTCTATCATTTTTATACAACTTTGATTTTTACTTCAAAAATTTAAGTTTAAGATTGAAAATATATTTTTAAAACATTGAGAACGCCGTTTTTAAGCGTGTTGTCTTCATAATCAACTTTGTCCTCATAAATGATCTATATTATTATTATTTTGGTTATTCTAGTGAAACTGAAACAAAAAAATCTTTTTCAGTTGTTCCTTAGAGTCACCCCACAGAACGTGTTCAATTTTTATGTTAAATGCCTGTTTATTGCCATTATTTCAAATGGTTCGATAAATGGCATTTAATGATTAAACCTTTTTTTATTCCTTGCTATGCATAACTAAATGTTCTTTTGGGGTAGTTCATCACCGTGGAATAACTGACAATGAACGACGCCATTACTCAGTTTTTTACAACAGTTAGTGTCATTTAAGGAATATTTTTACCAAGGCCTTACTCAAAGGGCCTTTTTAACGTTTTGAATTTATTTTTCAACGTCTGCTCAGGTCATGTTATAATAATCTGCACTAGTAAGTAAGTGGCGGAAAACAATATACTAAATAATGTTCCAGGGAACGAGCACCATATGATTATAATATTATTGGTTTGAACTTCTTCTGACTTTATCTTATAGTTAGGGACAAACAACCTAAGCATAACTAATCTACTACTATTCTTCTTAGATAAGAGTTTGTAATCGATTTCGATGTCGAACCAACTGTATAAAATCTACAATCGAATAATAGATGTTTTGTTCTGGCGCCGAACCGTAGTAAACAGATGCCAAACTTATTTTGGATGTTAAAAAAACCTTTATTACGTCAGTTTCAGCGCTACGTTCATGTTATTTAGTAGTAAGACACATCGGAGCAATTCTATTGGCTCCAGATTGTCTAATTGAAGTTTCTGGTATTTATTGGACCGATGCTTTTTTTCTACGCTTATTTTATTTTATTTTCAATTACTTTGTTTGAATTGTATTTGTGAGGACGATGACTTCTGTCGATTTGTCTTGAGGACTGCCATTTCTGCTTTGCATCTAAGCACTCTCTTCTGAATTATTCTCTCGAGCTCTTTTCTGCAACATTTTTAATTGGATTTTATCATTAGGTGTGTACATGCACTCGTTTTTTGCTATGTGCACACACTGTAAAAAAAAACGCGCTGTAGTCGACCATAAGTATTTCAAAGCTTTATGCAAATATAAAGCAATCGTAAATTATTGTCCAGTAGAATTTGGAATAAGAACTACTTTTACTTCTTTTTCCTTCTCAGTCATCTGCTTACAGACATCCATTTTCGTTTAAATTCAAAACTTTCATCGAATAAATTTGCGTTCTAAATAGAGCGATTAGATTATTGTACAATTGTATCTGACGGAGTTCTGCCGTTAGAATCTATTTCTACTATACCGTTGTTCGCTCAAATTCTTGCGAAAACTAGTTTCACTTAGAATTATAGAATATATGGATAGTTTCAAAAACAGAATAAACACACAACATAAATGTAGTTTTTCTATCAGATTGTTATTAAAAATTGACAACCACTTTTAATGTTTCTTTCAATATTTTCAGATATGTGTGAAGTTGGTTGCCGTGTTTTAGTTGATGGTCGTTATTTTGCTCGTGTCTTATATGTGGGTACTGTTGATGGAAAACAAGGTGTATGGTATGGAATAGATTGGGAAGATTGGATAGGAAAAGGAAAACATAATGGAACATTCGAAGGTCGATCATATTTCAAAGCAAAACATGACACTTCGGGTTCATTCGTCCGCAAAGAACGACTCTATTTTGGTCAATCATTTATGCAAGCAGTATTTCAACAATACATTAAACCATTTTTTAAAGATGATGAATCAGTAAAACTAGCGACAACGATCAATCAAACAGACGATTCACACTTAGATGAAAATGATGAGATTAGTTATGATTTCCTCGGTAAATTTTCTGTGTATAAGGGCAAGGACAATTATTGATTTCTTTTTTTTGCATTTCAGGTAAACATTTTGAAAGTCATATGCGTCAACTAAATGATATTGAACGTATTGACTTGAGTAATCAATATATAAATTCTTTTTCTCAGTCTGTCATAACATCAGATATTCACGATTCATTACAGTCAATGCATGAACTGGATATTCGCAAAAATTTATTAAATAATTGGTCAGAAATATGGCTTATACTCATCAGATTTCGATCACAAATCACAATATTTAATTGCAGTAATTGTCGACTTGATCTCACGTCAACAGATGAAAAATTTGAACGAATTGAAGAATTAATGTTAATTGATCAAGGTAAAAAAAGATAAAAATGATAATTGTTTATTATACCTTATTTTTGTTCATTTAGACAACGATTGGTATGCATTTGAACCTGTGCTAGTATCATTTCCTGGATTAAAACGATTATATTTAGATTTGAACCGTATTACATATTTAACTGAAAATGTTGAACAATTATTATCAAATCTTCGCGTTCTATCGTTAAGCGGAAATAAAATTACTGAGTGGGAACATGTGAATTATTTAGGAAAACTACAACATTTGGAAGAAATTGGATTGAACGATTGTTACATCAAGGATATACAAATACCGATAAAAATAAGTATGTACAGATAACGAGGAGAATGACATGTTCATTTGAGTACGAGAATATATTAGGGATTCTGAGAAGAAAGTTTAAACAAGCCGTTCTAAGAGTCTATTGCAATTGATGACAGTATGTCCAGCAAAAATGTGATAACAAATGGAATAGTGCAAGTTAATTAAATTCATTTCTAAAACGGTTTCTTCTCACAGATCTGTTCATTTGCATTATCAACTGAGAAAAATAATTCTTTTTTCTAGAAACATAGTACGTGCTTCCAAAACATAGTCTAATATCATATTTCTCTGCGTGGTGTAGTCTACCATCTGATATTTTTGTATCAAATACTGTTTATTTGTCACTGTCATTGATTGGTAAATAGTCATTTATTTATTATTAGCCGAATTATAATTGTAATCTTTGATTTTCCTATTTAAGTGCAGGTATTACGCGAGAGTAAATGTTATGCGAATGTTTGTCGAGGAAGTATGTGACTTTATTGTGTACTGTAAGTGTGAAATGAGAATTGACTTACTCGTGTAATCTTCTCATGTTTCGTAACGACAGTGAATTTTGACTAGAAGGGAATCGGGGGGGGGGGGGGGGGGGGGGGGGGGGGGGGGGGGGGGGG